TCTCGTCGATCGTCTCTCTCATCTGCCGCCTGCCCGCCTCGGCCATTATTACTACAGTCCTCACACGACCTGGCGACGGTGTCCCCCGGCCGGCCTCCGCTGCCTCGTCTTGCGCTGCGGTGGCGGGTGGCGGGTGGCCGGTGCCTGACTGCCTGTGCTTGTGGGCAAAGCAAACTGTGTGACTGTGACTGTGAGCATCCCTATCCTCTTCCGTCTTCCCAGGCAGAGGCAGCTGAGCGAGCCTCCGCTCTCCTCTGTTGCAGTGGTCAGAGGGTGTCTTTTGACCGATCGTCGTGCGCTCTCCTGTCTCCTCTCCTCGTCGGAAACACAGCACAAGCCAACAGTCAACGACAGTGGCAGCTTTGCCCTGCCTGTCGTCCACATAGTCATGTCTCGTCAACTCTAACACCATCTCAAGTGAAGATACACGGTCATCGCTATCGCTACATACTCCTCCTCCGTTCAGGATGTAAATCCCGTTTTTCGAGCTAAGATTAAGGTAAATGTAAAATTACGCATTTGTCCCTCTTATCATTTTAGAAGAGGTGTCTTCTAGAAGGGTCGTTTTCTGGAACGTTATTCTCATAGATGGTAGGTTTTAGTCATATAGGAATATTTTTAATTGGTGGATCCTATTAAAAAGGTGATCTCTAACTCTATAATTATATGTTTTTTGAGACAATGTTTGAATACTAAATTTACATATTTTTTTGAGACGGAGAGAGTACTTGCCATGCATGTTTAGCACTAGTAACCATTTTCATGGCTACATGGACCAAAGTTTCTCTTTGTTTTTCGTTTGTAGCGGGTTCGGATTAAATCCAACACCAACACGGCATCTTATTCTACCTTTTTCTTCCTTCTCCTTAAATTTTATTTTCACAGTGCTTTATTTTAAAAAAACACACCATATATAGTTCGTTATTCAATGCATAAATTACAGCTCTTCTCCTCGCCACTAACTGAGTGGAAGAGATTTTTACTGAGGCTACCACCACCCACTACTATTAATCCAGTCCAACTTGTAACGTCCTCACCACCGCCTTACCCACCAACCTGAGTTCATCCACTGCTGAGCAGACCTCAATTTAGATCCCTAATAAGCCCCCGAAAGAGAAATGATATCTGCTTAGTTTCTAGCCACAGTGCCAGGTGTAACAGTGCCCAGAATCGACACCATGTTTGGTGGCGAGAATCGATCCTAGGCCGCGTTTAGTTTCCTCCGAATTCCAGAATTTGACACTATGCAAAAAGAAGATTTCCGTCACATCAAATTTGCGGTATATGCATTGAGTAATAAATGTTGACGAAATCAAAAACTAATTGCACAGTTTGGTTGTACTTTGCGAGACGAACGTTTTAAACCTAATTAGTCAACAATTGGACAATTATTACCAAATAAAAACAAAACGACACTGTAGGCCATGTTTAGTTAAACGAATTCAGCGCCGCCAGAACTAAACGAGGCCCTAGGCCATGTTTAGTTAAACGAATTCAGCGCCGCCGGATTTACTGCGCAACACTGTAGCATACTGTAGCATTTCGTTTGTGTTTGGTAATAATTGTCCAAACATTGACTAATTAGGCTTAAAATGTTCGTCTCGCAAAGTACAACCAAACTGTGTAATTAGTTTTTAATTTCGTCAACATTTAGTACTCCATGCATGTACCGCAAGTTTAATGTGATGGAGAATCTTCTTTTTATATAGTGCCAAAGTTTGTATTTTGGTGGAACTAAACAGGGCGCTACATGTTTGCCAGGTTCTTTCCGTGTGACCGGAGGAAAGAAGCACACCAAAAATCTCCTCCTACACTCACGGAATGTCTGGCGCAACGGTGGGCAACAAAAGGAAGGTGAGGTAAAGAAAAGATGTAGCAGGGCTTCAATCCCCACCGAATCTACATGTACTGAGGAGTGCTTCGAGCCATCAAGTGCACATGTATCGGGTGAATTGGGTATAAAATTAACTAGTTTTATACACTTTAAACTACCACTATAATATTGATTGAGGTGGATTATAGCGTAGACAAATAATGCACGGATGGAGATGGGAATTGAGGGAATATAATCCGATTGGTCGTGTTTGCGTTGGGTTGAGTTGCCAAGTGGATGGACGGTGGTGTACCTTTGTGATAGATAAATGATTCCATTCTCCTAGAGGTTAGATAGATGATGCAGGGAACCAGCTACTCCTAGGCTGCTAGGGAGAATAGAAGAAGAGGAGCAAAAGGTGCATGCATGATGAGATATATAAGTATCGGATCGTATCCATCCATGGATTGATGGACGATGGAATGATGAAGCAAAGCCGATGGCATCCGATCTCGATCTCTGAATGGATGGATGGATCGATCCAAGGCAGATCAGATTTTGTTCCACTTTCGTTCCCCGATATGAAAACGCAGCACTGCACAACAAAAGTTCTCGTAGGCTGAACTTATTCAGTAATACTTTTTAGTTATAGAGCAGTTTTTTTCTCTCATAATATTTCAACGTAAACATCAGCATAAGTTAAATTTCAACATAAACGAACATGGTACACCAGGGTACTGTTTGCACCTTGCCTTTGCATTTCCGTCACTGAAATTGGAGTGACGCTGTACTACTATTCTAGCGACTGAGAGCACCACTCCGTCCTAAAAACAACGGAAATCTCGGTTCTTGATGAGCCAAACAATCTTAATTTGAATTAAATATAAAAATGGTTAATATTTATGATGTGTTTAAAGTAGATCATGGAGTGCGTTTTTGTATTTGAAAATATAATGAAATCTTGGTATTAATCTTCTATAAAAAAATATTAGAAGCGTTTGACAGGCTTCCAGCACTGTGCGTCTGTGCCCTGCCCAAGCCCAAGGTCTCCAGGCTACCGCAGCAGTAGCAGTGGAGCACGGGCATGGCCTGTCCGTCCTGCCGGCTGTGCCGAGCAGATGGAGCTGACGTGACGACGGACGGAAAATGGGTGCGCGGGGGTATGGATAGGATAGACAGAGGGTGGTGTGAGGTGCAGTCGACCACTCTCCTGCTGTGTTGTCACTGTGGTGTGTGGTGTTTGGCCCGTGCTGAAAGGAGGGCTGAAATTGTACGGCCGTACAGGCCTGCCACTTGTTCTTCGGGTGTTACAGTAACATGTGAGAAGGCTTGCAGCGGCTGCTCCTGTTTTTTACTCAAGCAAACAGGCCCTGTAGGCGGCGTTTGGATAGCGGGTGAGAAAAGGAAATGGAAATAATAAAGAGGCGGGTTGTGGATTGGAAAAAAAATGATCGGAGGCCTATTTGGTTACAACTGGATTTGGGCTAGAGTTAAAAAATGTAGAGGTCCATAGTTGCGTGATAAATGAGCAAAACTTGAGCCTGGTGTATTTTTTTTTTCCTTTACCAAATACAAACAAATGTACAATTTCCAAATTTTTTACTACTGACCAAACATTGGATACGATTTACATCCTAGCTCATTTTTCCCCTTTCCTATCCCATGTAAATTTTCCTTTCCATGATCAAAAAAATACGATTTAGCATGTCCCATACAAAACCATATAATTTTTTAATAAGGAACCAAGTTCCAGTCTATACAAAACCATATATATTAGTTCAAAGCAGTTGTAAGTATATATACATGAAAACATAGAGGAGCAATTAAAATTCAAAATACCTTATGCGAACCTATGTTGTCTTGGCATTTTAAGTTTTTTAAAAAAAATCACATGATAATCGACCATTAAATACCTAATCAATCGACAAACATCTAAGTGGTACTTTATAAAAACAAGTGCTAATTACGTGAAATTGTGTTTTGAGAATCGATATGAATATAGTACAGACATGCCAGGTATAGTAATATCGCTCCGTCAATTTGCCTCCTCGCCTTGCATGCTACTTGCATGGGGGCCCGCCGGCTTGCTAGTTGTGTGCTTACACTGCGCCCTGCGACGCTTGCTCGATTGTCCGCCAGAGCTCGGAGGGTTGGAGCGTGCGTGTTAGCCACTATTGGTCGACCTCCTCAGCTACTATGTTGCTCATGCTCAGCTGCTGTAGTAGCTTGCGGCCCTGCACCACCACTTCCTGGGTGTGGATTTGTAGGAGGAACGACGGGAAGCTCACCGTGAGTGTCCCTAGCGTGAGCGGCGGCCCTCCACCAACCCCCAATGGTAAAAATTTTAAGCGGGTGATGACGGAGGATCCAAAGGCTCTCGCCAAGGTAGGCCCCCCCCTCGTGTGTCGATCCGTCTCTAGTCGCCGTGAAGCCTCGTTGTCTTCATCTCCACTCGTTGGGCGCCGCACCGTTCAAGCATCGCCATCATAGCCTCTCCACCGAGCCACCACCTCATCTAATGCTCTCGCCCCTACAAATGCAACCTATGCCATCTCATGAACGATTTATTTCTCACATCAAAAATATTAATAACGATAATATGCATACGGAGGTTGTTGTTTGTCAAATACTTTGAAAAGTTATTCACATACAATAATCCATTTATGCAGCACGACCTATGTATATATCAGCAATCAATAGTGTCGGGTATTTATATTTATAGTGTATAAAACGATCAAACAATAACGATAGCATGGTTAGGTGATTTAATTACTATATTCACAGATATTAACATCAATTAGCATAGTCATTGATCTTGCAATGTTGACTCTACTTAATTATTGTTCTGATCGAGATTTGTTCGTTGTTGTTGTGCAGTGCATGCCTCACCAACCTCCCTCCTTCCCCTCTCTCTTGCAATGTTGACTCTACTTGGAGCCCACATGATCGAGACGTGTTCGTTGTTGTTGGACAAATGCATATCAACCTCACTTCTTCCCCTCTCTCTCACTTAGCCGCTGGAGCCCACATGTCAGCCGGACGCGATTCAGATTTCTGGGACAAAAGCATATCCTCACTTCTGCCATGTGGCTCGTCTGGGCCCCCAACACCCAACCCCACCCTCCCCCTATCCATCATCCTCTCCCACTTGGTCGTCTCGTCTTCGCAATCCTCAGAAAAGGGTGAGATGGCGGCGAGCGCGCTGCTGACGGGGGCGCCGTGGCTGCGCATGCGCCTCCTCCCGGACGCGCCCGCGCGCCCCTTCCGCCACCTCCACCTCCGCCGGGCCCTCTCCGTCCGCGCCTCCGCCGGCGCCGACGGCAGCTCCGGCCCCGTCCGCGTCCGCTTCGCGCCGTCGCCCACCGGCAACCTCCACGTCGGCGGCGCCCGCACCGCGCTCTTCAACTACCTCTTCGCGCGCTCCAAGGGGGGACGCTTCGTGCTCCGCGTCGAGGACACCGACCTCGAGCGCTCCACCAGGAAGTCCGAGGAGGCCGTCCTCGCCGACCTCGCCTGGCTCGGCCTCGAATGGGACGAAGGTGCTCTCTCTCTCTCTCTTGCTCCGCGCTTTCATCACTATGAATTGCGTGTCATCACGTTGACGGCCTAGCGTTGTGCCTCGCACATTTTCTGACCTCGCAGTCCTGCGGTTGCCTTGCAGCTGTGCTTAATTTGATCACAACTGCTTCGTAGATCTAGCCTCTCATTTTACCACTATTATGCTCTTATCACAAATACTGGCTGCCACTCACAAATTAACAAATAATGGCGGCTTTAGGAGTCAGCACAAATCGAACTCTCTAGGGGCAGGTAAATTGGTTGCAGATTTCGAAAACATTGTTTGCTAACTTCCTCTTGGTTGTCGTGTTCCCCTGCACCTGGAAAGGGATAGTATATATGCAAGCATTGCGGTGAATATTCAGTTTCATCAGATCATTGTAGAGCGTGCTATCTATACAACTATAACAGAAATAACACAACTATAACAGAAATAACTGTTCGTCGTCCATATTTGGCTAGGTCCCGATGTTGGTGGGGAGTTTGGGCCTTATCGCCAGTCAGAGCGGAATTCACTATACAAGCAGTATGCTGAGAAGCTTTTGGACTCTGGTGCGGTTTATCGCTGCTTTTGCTCCAGTGAGGTATTGTTCTCCCCTTGCATAATTTGCATGATAACTGTGTGTTATCATGTGCAGTTGTTTCCACAATCCCAGCTTCGCATGCGCATGTGCTATTCATTCTCTTTATGAATATAAGAAGCAGAGTTCTCGAAACTTTTTACCTTCGTAGTAAATATCTGATCCATTATGTTTTAGAGAAAATTCTAGCAATCAATTCTACCATAATTCACGATCCTAAGGAATAGCCAAATTTGAAGTCATCTGACAGGATATGTATTTTCTACTGGTCAAGTCATATATAATTTTATGTAATTGCCATTTCTTCAGGAACTTGAGCAAATGAAGGAAGTCGCAAAGCAAAGACAACTTCCTCCTGTGTATATGGGGAAGTGGGCAAGTGCTTCAGATGCAGAAGTACAGCAGGAGTTAGAGAAAGGGACGCCTTACACTTACCGCTTCCGTGTGCCAAAGGAAGGATCATTGAAAATTAATGACTTAATTCGTGGCGAGGTAATGAGTCAAAACCTAGAGCATAAGCTTAATATCTTGCTTTTAGTACTAGCTTATATATGTTGATTTGCATATATCATCAAAAGTGATCACATGAACTGATCAGCGGATAGTTTCATAAAGGTCAGTTGGAACTTAGACACGCTTGGTGATTTCGTGATTATGAGAAGCAATGGACAGCCTGTGTATAACTTCTGTGTGACAGTTGACGATGCTACCATGCAGATATCTCATGTTATCAGGTAATAAGGAAAAAGGAAACTCTGTTTCAGTCTTTCTTTTGAATGTCTGGCACCCTTGGAGTTAAGTGTTTACCCAGTTTTGTTACAGAGCTGAAGAGCATTTACCAAACACATTGCGGCAAGCTCTAATTTACAAAGTAATACCCTCTACCTTCTGTTATCTTGTTTTTCATAATCTGTATTCTTGACACTTCAAAAATTTATCACAGAAAATATATTTGCTGTAATGTTACGTTCTTCTTCAGGCTCTTGGATTCTCAATGCCTTCATTTGCTCATGTTTCACTTATTCTGGCTCCTGACAGAAGTAAACTGTCTAAACGGCATGGAGCTACTTCTGTCGGGCAGGTAACTTACCAACTATTCCCTATCTCATATTTCTGCCAACATATCTTCTTATTATACATGGCATAAGAATGAAACATGCTGTTTCTTTTTCTCTGCACAGTATAAAGAGATGGGCTATCTACCTCAGGCAATGGTGAATTATTTAGCACTACTGGGCTGGGGTGATGGTACTGAAAATGAGTTTTTCACTATTGATGACCTAGGTTTGTTCTCAATATTCTTTTTCCTGTCATTTTCACTGAAATATTCTTTGGTCCCTATTGAATTAAAAAAACTGCTATTCTCACTTCGGTGGTATTTATAATCTGCAGTCCAGAAATTCACTATAAATCGTGTCAATAAAAGTGGAGCAGTCTTTGATGCAACAAAATTGAAGTAAGTTCCATATGCCATGTTTCTCTGTATTAAAGATATTGTGATATAGCTATCAAGATCAGTACATGTGATTTAACCTAGTAACTTGTTGACACTTACTCTTTGTTAACTTTTAAAGCCTTACTTTCATGTATTTGAATGATCTGAGAACTATAAGTGCCACTAACTTTCTTGGAGGCTACTGTATCAACTCTTAGATAATCTGCTTGACAGTAGTACTTCTAGAAGCCTGGATGTCAAATGAATGGCCAGTTTTGAAACTTACATCGAGGATAATCAATGGATTTGAGCTAGGAAGCATCTGGATTCTAGAACCTCATCCAAGCTTTTGCCTGTTGCAAAAGATGGCCAAATACGATGATCTTAAATTAGATATGCTGGTGCTCATTCTTTGTGTCTGCTCACTGCAGTTTGTTATAGTGCAACACATCAAATACTATGATGAGTTTGACACATAGATTTTCACTAATTTCTATCCTTTTGATACTCTCTTGACCTGTCCAGTATGCCCTTGAAAAGCAGCAACCTCATAGGACTTTCCTCGTATAATTTGATACTGATCTTCCTTCTGTACCTGTCTAGATGGATGAATGGACAACATTTAAGATCATTTCCTCATGATGAACTCATCAAGGCTTTTGAAGATCGGTGGAAGAACACAGGCATTCTCCAGGAATCTGAAAGTGGTTTTGCTCAGGTAAAATTGCAAGCCATTTTATTTATTTTCCTGGACACCTAGGGTGTCCTATTTCGAAGTACATATTAAAGGTGTATTATATACCAGAGATCAATAGTAACCAGGGGTGGAGACAAGGGGGGGCCAGGCCCCCCTATGAATGTGAATTTTCCACTGAAAATTTTAAAATTCAAATAAATTTTAAAAATTGAACACTGTTGGCCCCCCTTACAACAACAACAACAACAACAACAAAGCCTTTAAGTCCCAAACAAATTGGGGTAGGCTAGAGTTGAAACCCAGCAGAAGCAATCAAGGTCCAGGCACGTAAATAGCTGTTTTCCAAGCACTCCTATCTAAGGCTAAGTCTTTGAGTATATTCCATCCTTTCAAGTCTCATTTTATTGTCTCTATCTAAGTCAACTTCGGTCTTCCTGTGCCTCTCTTCACGTTACTATCCTGGCTTAGGATTCCACTATGCACCGGTGTCTCTGGAGGTCTCCGTTGGACATGTCCAAACCATCTTAACCGGTGTTGGACAAGCTTTTCTTCAATTGGTGCTACCCCTAATCTATCACGTATATCATCGTTCCGAACTCGATCCCTTCTTGTATGACCGCAAATCCAACGCAACATACGCATTTCCGCGACATTTATCTGTTGAACATGTCGTCTTTTCGTAGGCCAACATTCTGCACCATACAACATAGCAGGTCTAATCGCCGTCCTATAAAACTTGTCTTTTAGCTTCTGTGGTACCCTTTTGTCACATAGGACACCAGATGCTTGGCGCCACTTCATCCACCCTGCTTTGATTCTATGGCTAACATCTTCAATATCCCCGTCTCTCTGACTCTCTGTAGCATTGATCATAAATATCGAAAGTTATTCTTCCTAGGCACTACTTGACCTTCTAAACTAATATCTTCCTTCTCCCGAGTAGTAGTGCCGAAGTTACATATCATATACTCAGTTTTATTTCTACTGAGTCTAAAACCTTTGGACTCCAAAGTCTCCCGCCATAACTCTAGTTTCTGATTCACTCCTGTCCGACTTTCATCAACTAGCACAACATCGTCCGCGAAAAGCATACACCAAGGGATGTCCCCTTGTATGTCCCTTGTGACCTCATCCATCACTAAGGCAAACATATAAGGGCTCAAAGCTGACCCTTGATGTAGTCCTATCCTAATCGGGAAGTCATCCGTGTCTCCATCACTTGTTCGAACACTAGTCACAACATTGTTGTACATGTCTTTAATGAGGCCGACGTACTTCGTTGGGACTTTATGTTTGTCCAAAGCCCACCACATAACATTCCTTGGTATTTTATCTTAAACATTCTCCAAGTCGCCATAACTCCAGTTTCTGATTCACTCCTGTCCGGCTTTCATCAACTAGCACTACATCGTCCGCGAAAAGCATACACCAAGGGATGTCCCCTTGTATGTCCCTTGTGACCTCATCCATCACTAAGGCAAACATATAAGGGCTCAAAGCTGACCCTTGATGTAGTCCTATCCTAATCGGGAAGTCATCCGTGTCTCCATCACTTGTTCGAACACTAGTCACAACATTGTTGTACATGTCCTTAATGAGGCCGACGTACTCGTTGGGACTTTATGTTTGTCCAAAGCCCACCACATAACATTCCTTGGTATTTTATCTTAAACATTCTCCAAGTCAATAAAAACCATGTGTAGGTCCTTCTTTTTCTCCCTATACCGCTCCATAACTTGTCTTATTAATAAAATGGCTTCCATGGTTGACCTTCCGGGCATGAAACCAAATTGTTTCATAGAGACCCGCGTTATTGCTCTCAAGCGATGCTCGATAACTCTCTCCCATAGCTTCATAGTATGGCTCATCAACTTAATTCTCCGGTAATTAGTATAACTTTGAATATCCCCTTTATTCTTGTAGATCGGTACCAATATACTTCTCCTCCACTCGTCAGGCAAGTTATACTGTTGGCCCCCCTTAACATTCAAAAAATCCAATTTCTGGCTCCGCCCCTGATAGTAACACGTTTTGTCTCTATACAAGATTAAAGCTATGAAGAAAATAAAAAAAAAGATAGCTTCCTTCTATTTTGGAAGCTCAATAAAAAGTTTACTTTCATTTATTGAAATAAAATTTTCCAGTAATTAGGTTAACATATGGAATCTGAAAAGTTGATACTGTGTTCAGGAAGCTGCCGAGCTTTTAAAGGACGGTATTGATTTGATAACAGATGCTGATGCAGCTCTTACAAATTTGTTGTCATATCCCCTTCATACTACTTTAAGCAGGTTCGTAAAAACAATATACTGGATTAAATTATTGACCTGTGATTCCTAGTTTCCCCGCTTACCTACAACTTTCTTGTTCATGGTTTGCCATTGTTGTCACCTAGATAGCTTCCTGTGATTGAGTTTCTTGTTCTGGCAAGTTAGACTCTTTAGTAAAAAAAGTAGTTTACTCATTTGCTTGTGTTCTACAGTGAGGAAGCTAAACCTGTGGTGCAAGACAAGATTTCTGAGGTTGCTTTGAGTCTTATTTCTGCGTATGATAGTGGTGAGCTCACTCAAGCACTAGCTGAGGGCCGTGATGGTTGGCAGAAGTGGGTTAAAGGTTTTGGCAAGTCTATCAAAAGAAAGGTATGTTTGATCCAATATGTGTTCCTTTTGGTTCTGTTGTGCTTTTGACTTTGTTACCACGGGATCTCTGGCTTCATTTGTAAGTGTCCTATCTCACTGAGAAAATGATTGTCAGGGATCACCAAATTGCAGCTGAATCATTTGATCAAACCTTGGCACAGTCCTAGCAAGGTTTTGTATCTAGCAGTAAACTTGTAAACCGAAAATATTAGACATGTCTTTGCTTTATTTTATCCGTTTGTGACCAGGGCAAAGGGCTCTTCATGCCGCTCCGAGTACTGTTGACCGGGAAGCTTCATGGGCCTGACATGGGTGGCAGCTTAGCCCTAATACACAAAGCCGGCATCTGTGGTGCGGTGACTCCACAGTCCAACTTCGTGACTCTAGATGAGCGGTTCAGGATCCTCAAGGAGGTCGACTGGGAGTCCTTGGGGAAGGAGCAAGAAACCCCTGCTGAATCTGCTGTTCCCGCCGCTTCATAGACTGTGTCAGTAGGCCATATCGGTCAGGGATGACAGCTGCGCGCAATGTTGCGCTTGAGGAGTTTTGTCCATTTTGCTGTGTTTTGTCACCGTTCGGTTCCATCCAGTAGCAGAAGTTCAGTGGTTAATAAAGCGAATTTTGATCATAGGTTGATGCTGTAATGGGGGTAACAACAACGACGACGACAACAACAAAGCCTTTAAGTCCCAAACAAGTTGAGGTAGGCTAGAGTTGAAACCCATCAGAAGCAATCAAGGTTCAGCCACGTGAATAGCTGTCTTCCAAGCACTCCTATCTAAGGCTAAGTCTTTGGGTATATTCCATCCTTTCAAGTCTCATTTTATTGCCTCTACCTAAGTCAACTTCGGTCTTCCTCTACCTCTCTTCACGTTACTATCCCGGCTTAGGATGCCACTACGCACCCAAGTGCCTCTAGAGGTCTCCGTTGCACATGTCCAAACCATCTCAACCGGTGTTGGACAAGCTTTTCTTTAATTACGCTACCCCTAATCTATCAAGTATATCATCGTTCAACTCGATCCTTCTTGTATGACCGCAAATCCAACGCAACATACGTATTTTAAAGACACTTAGATGCTGAACATGTCGTATTTTCAGAGGCCAACATTCTGCACCATACAATACAAAGCAGGTCTAATCGACGTCCTATAAAACTTGCTTTTTAGCTTCATGGTACCCTTTTGTCACATAGGACACCAGACGCTTCATGTTTACTTCATCCACCACTTTTTGATTCTGTGGCTAACATCTTCATCAATGTCTCCTCTATTCTCTAGACGATTGATCCTAGATATCGAAAGGTATCCTTCCTAGGCACTTGGCTACTTGACCTTCCAAACTAACATCTTTCTCCTCCCGAGTAGTAGTGCCAAATCACATCTCATATACTCGCTTTTAGTTCTCACGAGTCTAAAACCTTTGGACTCCAAAGTCTCCGCCATAACTCCAGCTTTACGATTCACTCTGTCTGCTTTCATCAACTAGCACTACATCGTCTCAAAAAAAGCATACACCAAGGGATGTCCTCTTGTATGTCCCTTGTGACCTCATCCATCACTAAAGCAAACAAATAAGGGCTCAAAGCTGACCCTTGATGTAGTCCTATCCTAATCGGGAAGTCATCCGTGTCTCCATCACTTGTTCAAACTCTAGTCACAACATTGTTGTACATGTCCTTAATGAGCCCGACGTACTTCGTTGGGACTTTATGTTTGTCCAAAGCCCACCACATAACATTCCTTGGTATTTTATCATAAGCCTTCTCCAAGTCAATAAAAACCATGTGTATGTCCTTCTTCTTCTCCCTATACCGCTCCATAACTTGTCTTATTAAGAAAATGGCTTCCATGGTTGACCTTTCGGGCATGAAACCAAATTGGTTCACAGAGAACCGCGTTATTGCTCTCAAGCGATGCTCGATAACTCTCGCCCATAGCTTCATAGTATGGCTCATTAACTTAATTCTCCGATAATTAGTACAACTTTGAATATCCCCTTTATTCTTGTAGATCGGTACCAATATACTTCTCCTCCACTCATCAGGCATCTTGTTCGATCGAAAAATATGGTTGAACAGCTTGGTTAGCCATACTATAGCTATGTCCCCGAGGCATCTTCACACCTCGATTGGGATACGATCTGGTCCCATCGCCTTACCTCCTTTCATCCTTTTCAACGCCTCTCTGACCTCAGATTCTTGGATTCTCCGCACAAAGCGCCTATTGGTGTCATCAAAAGAGTCATCCAACTGAAAGGTTGTGTCCATATTCTCACCATTGAACAATTTATCAAAATACTCTTGCCATCGATGTCGGATCTCATCCTCCTTCACCAAGAGTGCTCCCTTTCATTCTTAATGCACTTAACTTGGTTGAAGTCCCGTGTCTTTCTCTCACGAACCCTAGCCATCCTATAAATGTCCTTCTCTCCTTCCTTCGTACTCAAATGTTGGTAAAGATCCTCATACGCTCTACCCTTTGCCACACTTACAGCTCGCTTTGCAATTTTTTTGTGCCACCTTGTACTTCTCTATGTTGTCCACACTCCTATCATGGTACAAGCGTCCTATAGCATTCTTTCTTCTCCTTAATAGCCCTTTGGACTTCCTCGCTTCACCACCAAGTATCTTTAGCCTCGCCTCCACTTCCTTTGGTTACTCCACACACCTCTGAGGCCACCTTCCAATGTTGGTTGCCATCTTCTCCCACATGTTGTTTATGTCGTCTTCTTCCTTCCAAGAGCCCTCTTTGATAACCTTTTCCCTAAATACCTCCCTCTGACGTCTCCCCTTTCGGTTTCCACTACTTTGTTCTTTGAATCTTAGCTTGTTTATCCCTACGGACACGCACATGAAAACGAAAAATCTGCCAAAAGCTTATGTTGAGAAACAACACACTCTCCAGTATCACCTTGCAATCCAAGCATGCTCGTTTGTCCTTTCTTCTTGCGAGGACAAAGTCAATCATGCTCTGAGTGTTGTCCGCCATTGAAGGTCACTAGATGAGATTCTCTCTTTCTAAAGAAAGTGTTGGCTATCACCAGTCAAAAGCTACCTGCCAAGTCCGAACTTTCTCCCCTCCCCGATTCCTACTACCATACCCAAAACCTCCATGAATCGCCTTTCGAAACTCAAAGCAGTAGTACCTACATGCCCATTAAGATCTCCTCCTATAAAAAGCTTCTCACTACTAGGTATAGCTCTAACCAGGCCATCTAAGTCTTCCCAGAATCTCTCTTAGCACTCTCTCGTCGAGGCCTACTTGGGGGCATACGCACTAATTACGTTCAAGACCATATCACCAACGACAAGCTTGACTAAAGATAATCCTATCTCCTTGCCTTCTCACTCCCACCACACCATTCTTGAGGCTCTTATCAATCAAAACTCCTACTCCATTTCTATTCGCTGATTGTCTCTGTGTACCAAAGCTTGAAACTCAGATTGTCCACCTCCTTCAGCCTTGACCCTTCCATTTAGTCTCTTGAACGCATAATATATTTACACGCCTCCTAGTCGCAGTATCAACTAATTCTCTTAACTTACCTTGTAAGTGACCCTACATTCCAACTACCTAAACGGATCCTAGTTGGTTCGACTAGCTTCCTTACCCTTCGCACTTGGTCAGTCACTCGGATGCGAAGACCCTTGCTCATTTTTCACTACACCCGGCGCCCGATGTAGCGCGCCACTAAGGAAGCGATGACCCGATCCTTGCTCACTTGACACCATGCCCAGATCACGACACGGCGCGTCACACGGGTGACGACCCGGCCTGCCCATTTAACACCATACCGGGTTCCGATATGACGTCGCTAAGAGGTTCACGCCCAACGATTTTCTTTCGGGTTTCATCTCCATTAAAGTGGCTAAGTTTTTACATTGGCTCACACGCCTAACACAACCCTCCTCCTTTACTGGAGCTTGGGACTGCCTGTGTCTTTGGGACACCAAAGGCGCCCACCATAGGCGGAATTAGGTTGATCTTTGTAATGGGGTAAGCATTATAAAAAGCGTTCTAAGACTTTCGGATGTTGCTCGTGATTTGACATAATAATAAAAAATTGTTTGACGTTAAATTTCGACTACGTTATACACTTTTAAGTGCTAAAAAACACTGTTTCTGACGTGAAACACTGTTCATGTGAACAGGGCCCGCGTGAGAGGGTTCGCCAGCACCAGCCAGCCACTCCAGCCGAATATACTCCCTCCGTTTTAAAAAGATACTCTACAATTTTAAATTTGTCATATGATATATATTTTTATGATGCACATATTTAAAGTCTTAGATGTTGATACCATTTTTCTAAACTTCAGCCAAATTTAAGTCAGTTTGGCTCTGATCAAACCTAAAATTGTATCTTTTCTATAGGACGAAATAGTTCATGTTTATGAAGCCAAACTTTTCACTAGACAATTAAAAAGTAAACACTATTTGTGGTTTTTTCTCTATTTTTCTCAATGACGAGTGCCTTCTTAAATTTTCAAAAAAAACTTCGATTATTACTAGTGGGCCCTTAAACCCTTGCAAACCCTTTGGGCTTTGGCTATTCTGCTGCTTCGAAGAGCGTGCCAAATTGCCACGCGAAGCGATTTGTGCCCTCTCCTTTTGCAAGGCAACTTTTGTGCGGCCACCTCCCCTTTCCTCCCCCCGGAAAACCACGCCGCCATCGCCAGTCCACAGCCCCGGGGCCGTAAACCCTAGCCATGGCGTCCTCCATACTCTCCGACTGCTCCTCGGCCCGCCTCCTTCCTCTCCGCCGCGCGCTCCTCCCGCCGCGGGCGCCCCGCCTCCGCCCCTGCCCCGCTCTAGCTCACCCCAGGCGCCTCCTCGTCGCCGCCCGGCCCCAGCTTCTCCCGCGCCCGCGCCGCATGGACTCGCCCCCGCCGCCACCGCCTCGTCCGCCGATTCAGGTGCGCTTGCTTGGTTCGCTCTTGGGCGCTTCAGCTCAGCTCAGATGACGTTTTGAGTTTTGACATGCTAGTGTGTACTACTACTGTCTTCTGTCGAATTTTGGGCGTCGTGAAATAGGTGAAACCTTTGGATAGGTGATAGGTCTTGCTTGTATTGAAGGAAGTTTAGGTTAGGACATTAGGTGATGATGTTGAAAATGGAGCAGCGAATGTGTTCCCTTGAAGGAATGGCTATTTATCAGTTTCAAGTGTACCGGCAAATGAAACTTATGTCACTTTGACTCTGCAACCTTTTGATTCGTCTTCACATGTAGCAACCGTCTCAGCCGATGCACCTGCCAAAGTGATTGACGGGAAGCTTGTGGCGAAGCAAGTGAGAGAAGAAATAGCCGTTGAAGTCACCAGGATGAAGGATGCGATCGGCATAGTGCCTGGCCTGGCGGTCATCCTTGTCGGGTCGAGGAAGGATTCACAGACTTACGTGCGGAACAAGAAGAAGGCGTGCGAAGCGGTCGGTATAAAGTCGTACGAGGTCAACTTGCCTGAGGACAGCTCCGAGGAGGAGGTTATCAAGCACATAGCGAGCTTCAACAGTGACCCGTCTGTGCATGGCATCTTGGTTCAGTTGCCCTTACCTCGGGTGAGTGTCCGATTGCCACAACTCGATTGGCTAGCATATGTAACCCACAGAATAGGAATCTGGAGTTGCAATTCTGCTGCTAGTAACCACCAACTAGAATATTTAAGTTTTACTACTTTATTTTGCCTCTTAATGATTTGTATCTCCCTAGACAGTATATGGCATGCCAGGGTTACATGTTTTGTGCATGCTACACCCAGCTCAGGCTTCTTAAATGGTAGAATTTTCCTGTGGTGCACGATATGCTTCCTTATCTTGTCTTACTGAATAACATTTTTTATGTCCTGAAAGTGTTAAATGTAGCCCTCTGGTTAATTTTCCAATGGTATGATATCATAGATTCTGTAATTTCGTGAGTTGGTTGCCGCCATTCTTATGATAATCATGATGCTTTATGAAGATGCTAGAACTTCGTTACATGCATATGTGCTATCCGATGCTAGATAGTAAGTTGGAACATGCGAATGCTGATAAAATGTTGAATGCTATTAGTATAATGTAGTGAATGGTTTTCGTCCACTAAACAATCACATATCTGTTGTGAAATCATTTGCAGCATATGAACGATGAGAACATTTTGAATGCTGTCAGTATTGAAAAGGATGTTGATGGCTTTCATCCGCTGAACATTGGACGACTTGCAATGCAAGGCCGAGATCCGTTCTTTGTACCTTGCACCCCAAAAGGATGCATGGAGTTGCTACACCGATTTGGAGTTGAAATTAAAGGGAAGAGGGCTGTTGTAATCGGAAGAAGCAATATTGTTGGAATGCCTGCTGCATTGTTGTTGCAAGTATGAACCGGATCTTCTTTATTTCGAATAACTTAACAGTTTTATTATAGTGTCTGATTAATCTTTCTTTATATGGTTACCAGAAAGCAAATGCAACTGTCAGCATTGTACATTCACAAACTAAGAACCCTGAGGAAATAACAAGACAGGCAGATATAGTCATCGCAGCTGTTGGAGTTGCCAACTTGGTCAGAGGGAATTGGATAAAACCTGGAGCAGCTATTATTGATGTTGGCATCAATCCAGTTGATGTAAGACCCATTTTTTCTTATTCCCGACACCCTTTTTAATTAATCACTACTCTGTAGTACTATATTGCTATTTTTATGTTATTTCTATCCTTTTTTTTTGTTTGTGTGTCTCTTTTTGGGTTTCTTCTGTGGCGTAACCCAACTTCCTTCAGACCAAAATGCCTACTTCTTGTTCTTAACACCTTTATTTTTTTTCAGTCATGTTCATTTAATGCTAAAGAGGTGTGTTAACTGGATGTGTGTTTGTACATGGAAAAATTTCGTGAACCACCTTCAAATGCAAATTCCCAATGCTAGATGGCCCCTTTGAATTTCAGTATGTTAGTGTGACCTACAGGACTACTGGTGTTCCTGCAGTTTTCTTTAAAATTGTTAGGAAGTTATTTGTTGCACCTGGCACCTTAATTTTTGTTACTTTGTTTGGTCCAGGACTTCAGATTCACAGAACTTTAATCCACCAGGACCTACATACCCTTATGGCCCCCCCAATGAGAATCCATTTATTAATACTGAAAATGGCTTCTTAAATTTATGAGCCCCATGTTAGAGTGTTCCAGGTGACACATTTTTTCAGTTTTTATTATATGCTTGTGCAGCATGTGATGATCAATCAATTAATACTCTTAAATATCAATTTGTCCTATCCATGAGCTTGGTTCTGTATGTTGTCGTATCCGAACTGTGTTCTGCATATTAGAGTGGCACTGTCTCTTTTCCTTCCTCTCTTTGTGGCTTCGTGTAACTTTCTTGGCAATTTGCTTACTAGTGATTTGGAATGCTGCAGGACCCGGAAAGCCCTCGGGGTTATAGGCTCGTTGGAGATGTCTGTTACGAGGAAGCCTCCAAGGTTGCCGGAGCAATCACACCAGTCCCAGGAGGTGTTGGGCCGATGACAATTGCAATGCTTTTGTCAAACACTCTTGAGTCGGCTAAAAGAACCCACAAATTCAAATAACTGCTCAATCCAACAGAAATAAGGTGGGGGTTGCGTGCCTAACCTTTTGATGTAGACTACAAGCAAAGGTTTTGCCCAACTGTTTTCTGTGCCTTGCCTTCTGTTGGACCAGAAAAGTGCAGGAGTCCTAAAAATAAATAAATTTTGACACAGATGAGATGGGAATCCCGGCTTGATAGGGGTATTGTATTTGATAATATGACATGGAAGTTGGAATCTTGTTTTTGGCACCAGTTGAATCTCAGGTGAATCTGAGATGTCAGTAAGTTGAGGTGTCAGTAATCTGGGATGAATTTTGCTGCATCCATCTGACCGAATCAGCAAAATTTGTTTCCATGCCTTGATTGGGGTACCTGTGACTGTGACTGGTGGGTGCCATTGTCGATGTGGGATAACGGGGACAAGCGCTTAATTTCCCTGTTCGTTTGGGATAAGCCATGGCTGAAAGTACTGTTGGCCGATTTTTTGTGAGAGAAAAATACTATTCGTTGGTTGAAAACGTACGGCTTATAAGCCAAGCCAAGCGAACAGGGCGCTAATGTGTCCAGTTGGATCCTGGATTTTATTAGCTGCCTACCCTAATTTTTTTTTGTGTGGTACACTACTGCACACGAATGATGGTGTATTTGGTTCTTCGCAACTGCTCCCATCTCACAGCTGGATGGGGCTTTGCTGCATGCTCACCAGAAATGTGTCATGTGATTTGCTATTACCGCAATCTTGGACCAAATGACATGTACGAATGATGTGTCGGAGTGCTTGGTCTGTTCATCAATGCAGTGACCAAAATACATGCCAGTTTTTATCATGTAGGAGTATGCATCAGGATTTAAAGGTTTAAGCAAAGTATTTATTGTCAGTAATTGTAGTTCATACGTCATATCAGATGGGATGTCAAGCACTGAATGTTGTTCTTTTTTTTTTGTGGCAACAAACAAATCTCACTTTCCCTGTTTCTCTGGACACTATTCTCGATGGTGTTAGCCTATCTTCAACAACACCACCTAAAATACAAATACAAGACACATTTGTCCTTTGAGGTAGCGTTGTAGACAAAAGGTTCAATACCTATTCGACATCTTCTCCAACAATAAGGCTCAAAATAGAATTATTTCTGTAAATGAGTTTCCAGAAGAGATGATGTTTATATTTAGGTTGTGTCTCTCAGACAATCTAAAATGTATAGGTACTGTTGAAGATTAATTTTGAATTTCTTGCTATTTATTTTATATTTGGTTGCCATATGGGTTTCTTATTGGAGACGGTCTTACTGCTGCTGGTTGTTGGACACAGTTCGTAGTAGCAACTTTTGGGCTGAAGAAATGTTCACCTAAACGCAAGGGCAGTTGAGTCGTTCACTAGAAAAAGAAGCAAGGACGCCTAGTGCCTAGATGGCCCCAAATGAAAGGCACAATAAAATAAAATAAAATGGTAGTATGTGGGCAGCTGGTAGACACATATAAAAGGAGAAGGGTATGATGATTAGGGAACAGACGAGACAACAGGGCAGTTGAAGAATGCCCTTAAGCAACATTTGGGAAATGGTAATGACACATTGGCTTTTGCTGCTGGATAAACGTCACTTGCAAGCATGCATTAGCCTGTCGTACAAAAATATCCATGCCGTAATATTATGGCATTCTTAGCGAAAGTATTCGCGTGTTGGAATATTACCATTTGTGTTAAAAAATATCATTAGAAAGTTAGGCACAATGAACACGGTGACATGATAAAGATGATTATGCATCAATCTCCATTCATGAGAAAGGATAATCTTTGTTAAAAAAAAACAAAAGACAGGAACCCACCTCCCATGTGATGCTCTAGTACTAGTATATTTGGCTATTTGCAAAGTCTCTTTATTGAAGTTTTAAAGAAAATATAAAGGATGCATTTATACTACACCTAGTTATCTCGCTCCTCCACATAAATCTTAAACCATTAAATCTCTATCTACGTTACAACATACATCATCGTGCGGTTGCACCTATCAAGAGCTTGTCATGTCGACTTCATCACCTCGCTATGTAACGACCTAACCTGATCGCTCACCATTCTCTGCCACACATACCCGTCCCTCCACCTCGATCTCCACATCCGCCAATCGCCTCTGCCGACAAACCAACCTTCCTCCCTCAGCTCTTCTTCCTCTAACCCCCAAAACCCTCATCGTGACCTCGGGTCCTCAAACTCTAAACCCTAACCCGCCAGAGATGGAGTACAACGAGGCGAATCTCATCGCAAACTAGCAAAGATAACTATAAATAAATTGACCAAAAAATTGAAATAGCTTGTGTGATAAATAACACTAATCTTGGTTCGGAAAATAAATAAATAACGCTAATCCTAATAACGAAGTATAGGAGGTGTAGCGCAGGGGAGTAATAATGCACGGGGGGCAGGGCAAGGCAGGCAGGCAGGCAATAGAAGGAAATGATGCGCGCGCACACCGTGGCCACCCCTCCTCCAGTCCTCCCCGCTCCTCTCTCTCTCCCCACCCACCGCCGCGCCGGGCCACCACCCACTCTACCCTCTCTCTCTCCCCACCTCCACCACCACCACCAGCAGCAGCAGCACCCACCATCCCGGCGCGGAGACCGCTTCCCTCCCTCCACCCCCGCAACCCTCTCCCGCCTCGCCCGCGCCTCCCTCCATTTGTCCGCGCCCCCCTCCCTCCCGATCTTAACCACCCGCCGCGCCCCTCCCGCCACCCGGCTTCCTCTCCCAGTCTCCCCCTTCTTCCTCCCTCAAACCAGCCGCTCGCCCCCCCTTTCCACCACCTCTCCTCTTCTTCTTCTCCATCCAGACTACCAGGAGAAGGAGGTAGGAGGAAGAAGAACCAGCAGAAGGCCTCTCTCTCGCCCCCCTTGAAGCACCCCGTAGCGAGAGGGAGGGCGGAAGAGGATGAGCGCGTCCAGGTTCATAAAGTGCGTCACGGTCGGGGACGGCGCCGTCGGCAAGACCTGCATGCTCATCTCCTACACCTCCAACACCTTCCCCACCGTACGCCTCTCCCCTCCTCCTCTTCCTCCTCCTGCTTGCTGCTCCTCTGCGGAGATTTCATTTTTTCGGTCCCGGGATTTTGAATTGCGGCGGCGGTCTTGATCGATCTGGGGCGCTGGATTCGGTGGAAATTCCCCACCTACGTCCTCGATTCGCCCCTCGCTCGTCAATTCCGCCCCGGTTACCACAATGCGGCTGCGAATTGCTGCCACCTTTTGTTTTTGTTTTTAATTAGGGTTCGTCGGTCGCGTACCACGCCAGCTGCCCTTTGGTTTTGGAGGAAACCGAAAGGGGATCTTTTCCACGCTGTTCCCAAATCAGACCCTAAACGCGCTAGAGTTGTAGGGATTGCCTCGTTCGTGTACAAATAACATTACATTCATATAATAGGAGTTTCTGAAAAATCTGGGGGAAATGTAGATTCCCTTGCTAATCTGGCTCGCTTTCCCTGTCCCAGCTCCTGCACCACCGCCTCGATCCGTTTCATCAATCAGAGTACCAGACCGAGATCACTTTCCCGACTTTTTTAGTTACCCTGCCTGGTCTGGCTGCCTTGTACTCTCCTCCACTACTCACGCCTTCCGTATGGTTGGTGAAATGGATTGCCATTGCCTCACTTCACGCAATTCCACACTGGTTGTTGCACCAAAAGCGACGCTAGCTTTTCACGCATGCCTTCTTTTCACATACAAAATATCTCTTTCAAAGAACTTTTTTTTGGCCATGTACCAGTGTAGTATATCATAGCACTGGATTTTTTTTACGCATGCCTCCTTTTCCAATAGAAAATATCTCTTTCGAAAATTTGTTTTGGCCATGTACTCTAGTGTATATCCATTGCACTGGGATTTTTTCTTCTTCAAAAGATGCGATTTTGATTTTCGCGTGTGAATTTTTTGAGGTAGATTAGCTTGGAGCCCTGAGTAAGCGTGACCATGGGCTACTATATCCGTAGGACCACTGTGGACCGCCCTCCATGCTTGTGGAGGTCTAGTGTATCATTTCGGTAGGGTTATCCTCAGACAATCAGACAAACTTTTCTAGTTGCTTTGCGTTTACGGTGGGCGTGCGACGTGCCTTCATTCATTCCCTCTTGTCCTCTCCCATTGTCCTCTGCCCATTTTTCTGGTTTATGAAATTAGTTGCGCTTTTAGTGATATATGTAGTACACTTACTGTTGTCGCCATTGCTCTTCTGCCAGGACTATGTTCCGACGGTGTTTGACAACTTCAGTGCTAACGTTGTGGTTGATGGTAACACTGTCAACCTCGGCCTCTGGGACACTGCAGGTGACTAGCTGTGCTGTCCTGTTTTGCTACTTATGATGCTCTTTCTTCTTTCCGTGTGCATATCCTTTTTTCTTTGTTCATCAAAATGGTTAAACTTCCATCTTTGCAACTGCAACAGGTCAAGAGGATTACAACAGATTGAGACCACTGAGCTATCGTGGAGCTGATGTTTTTCTTCTGGCTTTCTCACTGATCAGTAAGGCCAGCTATGAGAATGTTTCGAAGAAGGCAAGACACTGATTCTTATATTCTATATTTGGTTTTGTTTGCTCTACATGTCACTTTATCCCAATGTTCTCTGGACATGCTTGTTTTTAGCTCATTTACCTTACAGTCTTCATTTAGCTGATTATGTGACAAAATTCATTGCTTCTAGCTTGATCATATTCTGAGTGATTATTTTTTCTTTGTAAAATAAATTATAATACTAAATTGTACTGGAAACAGATCTCCAAAAATCAAATTTTGAATACGGTTATTAATACAGAGATGGCTCCCAAACTTCTTGTTTGCTGACTCTGAACCCCTTTCTATTTTCAGTGGATACCTGAACTGAAGCATTATGCACCTGGTGTGCCAATAATTCTCGTAGGGACAAAGCTTGGTAAGAATGATTTGGTCCTAATTTTTTTTTGAAATCCAACCTTCTGATGCTAGTTTTGATAGACCAAATGATTGGACTTGGTTATACAGGATCATTTTGTTAGTTATTTATATGATAACTGTGCAGGAATTTAGCAATGTTGTTAACATCATGTGATGAAAAAAAAATCTGTACACAATAAAAGCAGGGGTCGAGTAGTCGTAGCTCTCGGTGTTGCCTGAATTTGTGTTTGTGTTTTTGGTGAACTGGTAACCCCAGTACCCTTTGTAAAACCTTTTTATAAGAAAAGATAATAGCATGGATCCTACCTGGTTTACAAAATGTACTTTCTGTATTGATTTATTGTTTTGTTAAACCAATGCAACAGGTAATGGTTAGCTGTCCCTCAGTTTGCTATTTTTCCTGTTAGGTTCAATGATTTTGCTTTTTGTTCTATGTTCTTACAATGTTTATACATAATATTTAACTAGTGGCATAACTTGTACATGAACCCATGCATAGCCTAGCATAAAGCCTCAGATTGCAAGCTACACAGCCTTATATTTTCACAATGCACATTTCACTGACAGATCTTCGAGATGACAAGCAGTTCTTTGTGGACCATCCTGGTGCTGTCCCTATCACTACTGCACAGGTATGGTTACGGGTGGTTTACTGCCCTTTTTGCTCTAGTAGTACTACATAAATGCTTTGAGATGTAGTGAATTTTGTCAAGTTTTTCCTGATTTTCTTCTTGTTCAGTGACTGTTGTATAACATGGTTACCTTGCCACCTATAGGGAGAGGAGCTAAGAAAGCAAATAGGCGCACCATACTACATCGAATGCAGCTCAAAGACCCAACTAGTATTGCCATCTGCTCAACCATCTGCTAAACATGTAATATCATGTGAGATACTAACAGGCTTCATTTTTATTCCTACCTGAATCGCAGAACGTAAAGGGTGTGTTCGATGCGGCGATAAAGGTTGTGCTGCAGCCACCTAAGGCAAAGAAGAAGAAAAAGGCGCAGAGGGGGGCGTGCTCCATTTTGTGATTTAATCATCAGTAGACAAAGAAACAAGGGCGAAGGTGCCATGGTTTTATTATCATCGCGTCTTGCTTCAGCGAAACAGCATGGATGGTCCCACCCTCTAGGTTTACTGGCGGCTGCAGCGAGTTCTCATCTCTTTGTCGAGGCATTGAGCGATATGTTTGTTTCATTTCCTCCTTTCTGCCTTGTGATTATCTGGTGTGTGACTGACGAAGTCGTGGCAATTAGGTAACTTGCTTAGAAGGTATTTCCCGTGTTTGAGCAAAAAAAAAGTATCCTGTTATCTCTGTTCCACAAGTAGACATGATGTAATCGTACTAAGTTTATTTTTACTTATTTCATTTCAATGGAAAATTATGCTTCCCATTATATGGTGGTCATGCCAGTACGCCAATGGTGTCCCTCCTTGTTTCCCTGTCAAGTTCTCAGTATTTTGTGGCAAATGGAGCATGCAGTGTGGTTTGACTTGATTATTTGGACTGGACACTATACAATACAACAATGATTCCTTGGTTTACAGCTTGCACTGGTACTATGATATATGGTACCATGTAGGTCATGGAGAGCATGTTTGCAAGTTGCAGTTGTAACCGAATATTCATGATCTACGATATGATACCATTTGCATTTCTGAAGGTTACAGGCCTTGAACAAGGCAGTATAATCTTTAGAAAACCATGTCCATGTGGGTTGGATGTGGACATGTGGTGTTGCACACGTCCAGTCCAGGTCCCAATGGTGTTCGTTGGATAGTCAATCCAGTCTTGCTGGAATTGCAAGCGCAGCTGCAGACTGGAATCAGTTTGAGTGAACAAAACGATTAATCTCTCCAGTTTTGTTTCGTCCCACGCTCATTGTGTTTGAAATAGTCCCCGGCCGTTTCTATTTTTAAATTTAAAAAAGAAGTGTTAAATGTTGAAACAAAAAACATTTCGTGTACCAAAAAGAGGAAAAATATTCCGTTGCCGGGACTCGAACCCGGGTCTCTCGGGTGAGAGCCGAGTATCCTAACCAGCTAGACTACAACGGAGGTTGCAGGTGATGTAGGAATGCATATACATCATTCTGAGAGCGTCAAGCAGGGCACCATATCCATGTATCGCAATGTGGGCTCAGCTGCCGTTCCTCTGGTCTTTAGAAAACTGTTTGTGACAAGGATGCCCCGGAGCCCTCTATGGTCCAAAAGCATCTTCAGTAGACTATCTAACACGCTTTCTACTCTATATTTGTGCAGTGAAGCAAAAAAAAAAAGCAACCTCAAGAAGACTACCTACTTGGCCTCCTAGATTTGAGGGCTACCCAAATCCTCCATCCCCACGGGTGAGTAGGGGGCTCCTATTTTTCTATTCGTTCGGTTTCATCACCGTCCATGCTCGATCCCATCTCCTTGTCGATCGGCGTCGCTGCCTCCACGCCCAACTCCAACGTCTCATGTTTGGATCTTGCCTCCTCCCTATCGGCTGCCGACTCCACACTCAGTGACACTGCCTCTAGGCTCGGCGACGTCGCCTCACCGCTTGATCCCGCCTTCTCCCTGCCCAAACCTGGCTCCTCTCTGCCCAATCTCGCCGCCACCTTGCCCGACCCAGCGCCGACCCCTCCTCCGTGCTTGCCGCCTCCACTACTCCAACAAGGTATGTCACCCTGCCCGACACCCTCCTTGATATCATATGTACTATGACCATTTGCAGATGGTTTTGTTTGATGACAACAAGATATGTCCGTGTATAATGATAAATTTTCAGGAGGATGGTTTCGTATGTTAGGAAACCTCTTTTTGCAGATTGTTGATGGTGTGAAAGCTCATAATGACTTTCAGACAAAGGTCAAATGTTTTAGGACTTCTTGGTGCAATCGCATTGTAGAAAACTGTTGGTTCATTCTGCATGCTTGCATATGATTTACTAGCTGAGTCAATGAATTAGTGAGAATAGCAGAAAACACAATGATTTTGGTTGGTGGCCAAAATTTAGTTGCCAAAACTTAGGCAAGCCAAGATTTTGGTAGTCATTTGGATTGGTACAAAAATTTACCAATGTCTCACAATTGGCATGTCAAATTTATGGCAAATATTTTTGGCTAAGTTTTGGCAACTTTTTCTTGCCAAATCTTGGGCATGGCAAATTTGGGTAGCCAAACAATTAGGCACTAAGTCCTTCAAGCATTTTGTCAAAACGATAGTGGATGTCTTTGGAGATTAGAGCATCTCCAAGAGTACCCAATAATTCTTTCTCAAATGATGGTGTTTTCCAACTTGACAAAACGTATTGAGAGGAATAAATAAGACTATCTCCAACAGTTTCTAATATTTCATTCCTAAAACATCAAAATTTGATACCACAATAATTTTTCTTTGCGCCTTCTTCTCCGTCTCCGTCTTCATCTTGATACCCATGTACTTGATCCCTGTCTCCGTCTTGTACTTGGATACGTGGAAGAAGATGAGCCCACGTTGCCCCCGCCACTGGTCATTTTGAGCATGTTTGGTCATTTTTTCCGAGCACCAACAAGTTAGGAGGTGATATTGGGAATTGTTGGAGATGAGTTTTTTTCATTCTTCCCAAAAATCATGGATTGAGAAGGTTTATTGGGTACTCTTGGAGATGCTCTTAGTACTTGAGGCCACTAAATGTTGAGGACACTAGGAAGCTGATGACCTCAAATGAGAGGAGAGGATGTTCGGGCATACTGGGTTGCATAGATTATATGTATAGGTGGTGAAAGAATTGTCCTACAGATTAGAAATGATATTATTCAGGGCATGTTGATGGCCTAACTATGACCCTATAAGCCGTGGCTTCTAAAGATTTATAGATTTGACACTCATTTTTGGACTTCCTGACTCCCTCAGTGACATCAATGTGTTGTATTTGTGGCCACGTCGTTGTGTGTCATAGTGTGGTTGTATTTGCCATGCATACCGCTTTAGCTCGTCTTGTTGATGTAGACAATTTGACATTTGAATTTTGAAATTTAAAAGTATATTGTGTTGTAATAATATATTGAGTCTATGTTATTTTAAATTATGCAAATACTATTTTTTTTGTTTTAATTGTGGAGGCAAAATAAATAAAGATAATATATATAGAAGGTAAACATGATGAATTTTGTAGGTAGTTCTGTCGGGAACAATGAGGCTCCCCCAGTGTTCTAGTAGATAACAGAAACAATATAACAAATTAACAGGGCAGAGCGATAATAAAAAAGGACAAAAAGAGAAAACAGGGCAGAGCGATAAAAAAGGACAAAAAGAGAAACGACGCCTGAGAGATTCGAACTCTCGCGGGGAAACCCCATGTACTTAGCAGGCACACGCCTTAACCACTCGGCCAAAGCGTCGTTGTTGGGACTGCCAGTAGAGGACCAGTATTTCACGCAGAAGTTCAATCCAGCACAATGACCTGCCATTCCTTGCCAATGCAACACTTGGATTCAGAAACAAAAGGCCATCAAAATCAAAATTTAAATCTTATTGTTCACTTGCATTTATATGTGATTGTGATGGTACATCCATTCGGACACAGTTCTTGTACATACATACATAGAACCTCTCTCCTCTTAATTGAAACGAAACGCAGAGCTCCTCCTGCTGTGAGGTACGTTAAAAAGAACATTTGGATACGATGTTGCCCGCCCGCCAGCCTCACTGCATCATCCCATGGCGTACTTGTGCGTCCATCCCCTGGCGGTGGACTCGTACCTGAGTCGGTCGGTCTTGCACATGTGGGCGATCTCCGGGACGAGCGGGTCGTCCGGGTTGGGGTCGGTGAGCAGCGAGCAGACGGAGAGCAGCACCTTGGAGACCGTCAGGGCCGGGCTCCACTGCTCCTTGAGGATGTCCAGGCAGATGTTCCCGTTGCTGTTGATGTTCGGGTGGAACACCTTCGTCTTGAACGCCACCTGCAATTGCATTCATTGCATGCGAGATGCTTCAGTTAGTGAGCTGAGTTTGGATTCTTCAGTTCAGTCAGAGATTAAGCCATCATCAGATTATCAGACTGACAGACAGACAGACCGACCTTGGGAGGCTTGAAAGGGTAGTCTGGAGGGAAATGGATGGTGACCAGGAAGACGCCCCCCGAGTAGGGGCTGTCACTGGGGCCTATGATGGTCGCTTGCCAGTGGAACATGTCGTCAGACACAGGCCCTGCATGCCAGAGAGCACCAGATTTCAATTCATCAGAAATACAGAAAACAATTTCATTCACTCTGAAGACTGAATCCGCCTTCTTCTTTTTCTTTGTTTGTCCCTGACTGAGCTTATTTATCAAACTCACTAACTGACTGAAACATACATATATACGGCGTACATATATGTACCTGCGCTGCAGGACGTGGGTGGATCCCTCTGCAGGTCCTTGAGCTCCTTGATGATTCTCCTCAGCGCCATCGATCAACAACTCAAGAACTCAAGATCGATCCCCTCTCAACTACCGTTGATCTCAACGTCTGAAAACTGCAGAACTACCGAGGATTAATTGCAGGGCCTCACTCTCTCTATATATACACACACGCGCACGCACAGGAAGAGAGAAACTTGGTCTTGTGCCGTTCCAAAAGAACCTTTTGGCCACGGTCAAATATGGCATTAGATTCTTGAATGAGACGGTCGAAAGCAAAATGCTCGGACAGTGTGATGAGCGATGATAATATCCAGACAGACCTAATATTCTCCGTAAAGCTTAAACAAGCGGCCGCGCATTTGCGCTTGTGCACAAGTGAATTTGGTTTGGAGCTCTAAGAGAATTTGTTCACCAAGAACGGGACTGATAAATAAAGAAAAGAGGTGAGATGATTCTGAACAAAAGGGGCAGTCAGTTGCAAGTGGGAATGAAAAGGCAGCGCCGGAACTTTTACCCACCGACGGCTCTGCTTCGTTCGTCCAACTCCTTTCATCCCTGCGTGTGCATGTGCAATTGTGCATGTACATTTCAGTGGCAACAAAGAGGGAGGAGAAAAGAAGAGAAGAGTTCTTTGACACTGAAAGGAGAAAGAAATCGTCTTTGCATCTAGTATCGATGGGGGACATTGGGTCGGTGCCGGCTGTTCCGGATACCTTATGCTTATGAGCCTCAGCTGTCCAAAAATATTCTAGCTTATCACGGTAGTAGAATCTTGGCTGTATGTACGTGTTTGAGGCCAAATCATATGGTACTAGACTAGCTTCCTCTTCGTTCTTTCCTCAGAATGTTCTAGAAGGACCGAACGGTACCTCTGATGCGAACTTACATGGAGTGGAAGACTCAGATTTCAGCTTGGATTTGTTTTTTTTACATCTGTTTTGTTTGTTCAGGTGTTCTAACTGTGCTCAAGTAATATCCCAATAGGTGATAATTGATAAGATGCCATGGACAAAAAGATTTTAGGGAGCAATCCGAGTTTCAAAGAGATGGAGAGATGAGGCAAATCTAAAAGAAAAAAAGTTCATTTTATCTCCCTAAACTATTGTCTTAGTCTTATATTTCTTCCCAAACTCTAAAACCAGACATCTTTACCCCCTAAATTTACAAAACTATCTAAATTATTTCCCTACACTAGTTTGATGTGGTCTTGATGTTTTTTTTGTCTTTTTATTTAAAAAATCTGGTAATACTTGATAATGTTTATAAACTACAAAAAATATCTCTAACTTATAAAAATTCTAAAATAAGTCATAGAGATAGATTGGGATTTTACAAAGAATCCAAGTTAAATATTTAAAGCTCATGAAAATATATCTAAAAGATTAAAAATAATTCTTGGAAAATGCAAAAATATATAAAAAATCTAGAAACTTTTTAATCATTGTCTAAACTTGTTTTGAAAACTTTACACTCCAAAATATGAGATGCAGCTAGCATGAATGCAACATATCTTAATGTTGAATGTGAAAGGACCTTGATCTAGCCTAGAGAGGGGGGGGGGGGGGTTTGAATAGGTCTGTTTAAAATAAACTCGCAGTGGAAGTTAAATTGTAGGTGTGGCACTGCCTCACTAAAAGTGTGGCACTGCTGCTCCTGCAGACAAGCTCGAACTACAATTCAAAAACTACCCAAGGAAAAGTAGATCGAGCAAATTACTGATGTTCCTGGGATAGTGTAGAGCCTATTCCACCACCAAGATGTTGGCGAAAGTGCACGAGCAAGTAGATCGGGACCAAACCCTAGAATCATCACAAATACAAGTATAGCAATGCAAATCACAAGAACACAAGTGACACACCGATTTATCCCGTAGTTCAGCTCGCCACTAAGGCTTGCCTATGTCTATATTGTTGAGGTAGCCACCAAGGCTTTGGTCTCTTTCAACCTTATCCTTGTTCTCAAGCCAAAGAGAATGAACTCTTGAGATGAGGGGTGATTTCACTAGATGATCGAGGTGATTACAAACCTTCTGGGGCTGTCACACAAGTTGGCAAGCACCACGGACGACGCTCTTGCCGGCTAGGAGCAAGCTCCAAGAGTAACAAGCACAATCCACCGGATTGAACGTGAACCAAGTGCTCTAGGAGATGAAAAACAGTTGGGGCTGCTCTCTAATGTAGTTTGGAGGCTCAAACTTTCTTGGATTTGGAAGGGAATCAAAGAGAGAAGGTTGAGGGGGCTCCAATGGTGAGGGAGAGAGAGGAAGCTGCCCTGGTCGCACCTGGGAGGGGAATGGTCGAGCTGAAAACAGATTACCGTTGTGGGAGAGAAGAGAAGGTATAAATAACCTGTCGGTATAGAAAGTGACCAACTAGTGAATATTTGTAGTTTTGTCGTACGTTGTGATCGGAGGTGGCCTAGCACTCAATGACACAGGATTTAGACTGGTTCGAGCAACGTGCCCTACGTCCAAAGGTGGGTCTCATTGGTGACTTTATTCTGAGCTCAGTGCTCAAGTCTCAGAGTGGGGTTACAAACGAGAAGGAGAAAGGAGGGGTGTGAGAGGGGCCCGATGATTTGTACCAAGGGCGGCCTGAACTCCGCTATGAGCTAGGTGTTCAAGGGGCTTGAGGGGTTTCTGAGCTAAATCTAGTGAGCCCGAGCTTGAAGAAGTGGACCTCTGAAAAATCAATCTCCTTTGTTGGAGGGAGCGCATCCTTTTTATAGATAAAGGGATGGCTTTACAGTGAGAGGGAGAGAGTACGGATGTTTCTAAGTCTTGTTGCCCACGCCGAATGGGGCTTAGTGATGATGGTTGGCATGCATAACACCGTTGATGTCATTTGTAGAATGTCAAGTGACATATGGGGGTTGCGCTGGCTTCTTTAGGAAGGGTGGACGTCGGTGCACTGTGGAATGTCATTAGTATATGAGGAGCCCCACCACGTGTACGTGTATGGTGAATCCTCGGTGCCCACTATCGATGCCCGTGAGGCATGTGGGGGCTTTTTTGCCGTATGGGAGTTCTAACGGCGCCTACAATCATCAGAGACGAAATGTCGGCGCCTACACAATTGAGACACAAATGTCGATACCTCCCATCTGTTTGTGTTAGGTCGATTGTGGAGCAGAGTAGAGCTATGGTCCCGCACCCTGGTCTCTTCCGAGGGGAATCCCCAATGGATGGCTCCAAATGGTATCGCCGTGCAAGGCCGAGAAGAGCGGTAAGCAGGCATCCCACGAGCCTTCGGTCGGACGCGGGTCGGAGAAGAGAAGCGTTTTGGGCCAGCCTTCCAATCGGGAGTCCGCCTCGAGGCGGCCGGCGTCTCGAGGCGGCGCCCAATTAGAGGTGGGCGAAGAAGTTGTCGAGCGGGCGTTTGTTCTTTCGGTGGACCTTTCGGTCGGCGACCGGTCTGTCCCCCCGGCCCGTTGTTTTTTAGACTTTTTGGGCCGGCCCATGGGCTATAGGCTGTTCTCCTGGGCCGAGCCCGGGCGTCGAAGCCGGTCCCCGAGGGACCCCGGGTTTATGAACCCGACATAACCCCTGCTCCCAACGGTTAGTTAAGTCACGGCAATGTCACGATTAAATCAAGCGGCGAAGGCCTCGCTGAATCAAGGCAGAAGGCCTCACTAAGTGATAAAGGCCTCACTTGCTAGGCAGCACAAAAGATAAAAATGCAAAGCTTGCTGTCTTGGCTAAGGCTTTAAGGGTATTTGGTGGATAAATGAGCACTTGGTTGCACATTAAAGCTTGTGCATCGTATCTCCCTTTATAGTACGATTTTTCCTAAACTCAAATTCAAAATATCAAAGAATTTAAACACCTTTGAGCTGGTCACCGCATCCTTTTTATAATTGGGGGCTTCACCATTGAATGTATTGTCCGCATTCCTATTATACCTTGAGCATGTGATCTGAACCATTTCAACACATGTGAGTTCACCTCAATGACTTCAAGCCATTTTTACTAATGATTTGATCCTCAACATAATATGACTCTTCATAGCTTGATTAGTTCCTCGACTCAATGCAAGTACTCTCTTATTCACTTTAGCCATGGTATCTCGGTCCTCAAGCCGTCGCTTGCCCTTCACCTTCGCTTAGTTCCTCGAAGCCCTTTCCTTGCTATCTTCATCTTATCAAGCCATACTCAAGCCACATCATATTAAGCATCCATTGAAAAACCATTTCTTCAATTGTATGATCCTTGCTTAAATATCTTCTAGATATAAATGTTGAGATCAATCAAGCTTTAGTTTGATTCACATAAAGACATATATGAATCAATATTAATATGGTCAAACCAATTCATGATTTCTTATATCCTCTTTATTTTGGCTTGACACTCTTAATACTCACTTCAATATCTATCTTCATACTTCTAACTTGATCAAGTCAATGCAAAGTGATTTTTCAAATCTTTATCCATACAAGCAAACCAATGTAAAGAACATCTTATATCTATTATATATTGTCTCCTTTGTCATTTCACTTTTGCTTAACATTTTCTCACTTATACACTCTTGATTCATTATTCAATTCTTAATCAAAACTAGTCCACTATCCAACTCTTCTTGTTCATACAAAGCAAGCCATTATAGAGACCAATCAAAAATCATCAACTCATGTCTCATTTGTTATTTGCCAAATATGCTTGATTTCACATGATGCTATGATATCCCACAACATAAAAGCCATTTCATTGATTCCATTTGCATTGTTGTCTTTTTCTTGAACTAGATTATTTCCACAATCTTTCAATATAACAATATACAATTTGGCATTCATTACAACACTATGTGGCATATCATCAAGTTTGCCTTGTTGTTGAACCTATATACACTTCTCATTCCACAATCTACAAGTATATGCAATAAACTCAATTTCCGTTCACACTTAGCAAACTTGTTAGACCTTTAATGGTGTTGTCATTCAATTCATCAAAACCCACTAAAGGGTTAGATGCACTTACAGAATGCATTCATGTTACACATTTAGTATAGGTTGTATCTTATGTTTTTTGTTGTATATTTTTTTGAAACAAGTT